AGTGGGAGGTGTGCAGGAGGCAGCCAGTCAATGATTCTCTCTCATCATTGATGTTTCTATCTTTCTCTCCCTCTCCCTTCCTCTCTGAAATCAATAAGAATATATTTTTAAAAAATACAAAATTTAAAGGTGGAGAAGTTGAGGTATTATATAAAGGATTGAAGGTGAGCGGCAAACCAGTTAAGTCTAAAAAGTAAGTTATTGTTGTAAATTTGGTTTAAAATTGAATGGTAACCATTTATGTGAAATTCTAGAATAGGTAGAACTAGTCTATGGTGAAAGAAGACAAAACAGTCATTGTTTCTGGGAGGATTTTACTTCTTTCCCAACCTCAATGCCTTTTAGTTTTCCTGTCTCATTGCACTGCCTAGAACCTCGGGTATAATGTTGGGCAGGTGATGAAATGGACACCTTTGCCTCACACCCAATCTTAGGGAAAACGCATTTTGCATTTCACTATGGAGTATGCGATTAGCTGTAGGGCTTTTGTAGATGCTCTTTCTCAGGTAGAGGATGTTCCATTCTATTCCTAGTTTGCTGAGACGTTTTTATCAAAACTGAATGTGGGATTCATGTCAAATAGATAACTAGGGAAATGCAAATAAAATGCTGATGAGATACCACTACTTACCTACTGGAATGACTAAAATCAAAAAGACTAACCATACCAAGTACTGGTGAAGATGGGAAGCAACTGGAACTCTTATTCAGTACTATTGAGCGTGTGGTACAACCATTCTGGACATCAGTTTGACAGTTTCTTTGAAGTTAAGAAGGGCCCTAGCTGGTTTGGCTCAGTGGATAGAGCGTCGGCCTGCAGACTGAAGGGTCCCAGGTTCAATTCCGGTCAAGGGCGCATGCCAAGGTTGTAGGCTAGATTCCCCAGTAAGGGGCGTGCAGAAGGCAGCCAATCAATGATTCTCTCTCATCATTAATGTTTCTAACTCTCTGTCCCTCCCCCTTCCTCTCTGAATTCAATAAAATAGAATAAAAATAAAATTTAAGAAGGTATCTATCCAGAAGAAATGAAAGCACAGGTCCACACAAAAGCTTGTGCCTGAATGTTCATAGTTGCTTTATTTGTCATATCCAAACACTGGAAACAACCCAAATGGTCACCAGCAGGTGAATGGATAAACAACTGTGCAATATTCATACCAGACACCACAATAAAAAAAAAATAAACTATCAATACCTGAAATAATGTGGATGGGTCTCAAAATAATTATGCTGAGTGAAAGAAATAAGACCCGCCCCCCCAAAAAAAATAACATATTCTATATGGTCCGCTTATGTGAAATTATTGAAAATGAAAACGATTCTACAGAGGCAGAAAGCTGATCACCGGTGGCCTGTGGCGATGCCCCTCTGGAACCCACTGCAGATGCTTTCGAACAATCCCGTGACAGAAAGGACCAACCGTCGCTGGGCCACGTCTGGGGAAATCGGGGAGGTAAACTCTTGGGTCCGAAACCTGGGACCAATATAAAGTGCTCAGAGGAGGGGGCAGGCTCTCACACAGCCTCTGCGGCACCTGTGAGAGGAGCCCCGCGAGCTAGCGCTCCGCAGTGCAAAGGGCCCGGCGGCATGTAAGCCAGTCCTGGCTCCAACCCGAAGGGGAGCAGAGGGTCCAGGCCCTGGAGCTGGGGCCGGCCTCCTGGGTGGGAGGAAACGTGCACTGCGTGAAAGGATCACCTACTAGATTCCAGCGTGCCCTCTAGAGTCCTCTCACCGTTCATTCGACGGCATCCATTTCCTGAGCATGCACTGTGGGCTGCAAGAAAGACATGGCCCCGGCCATCAGAGTTGTGTATCTTCCTGTGAGAATCCCTAGCGCTCCGCAGTGCAAAGGGCCCGGCGGCATGTAAGCCAGTCCTGGCTCCAACCCGAAGGGGAGCAGAGGGTCCAGGCCCTGGAGCTGGGGCCGGCCTCCTGGGTGGGAGGAAACGTGCACTGCGTGAAATGATCAGCTACTAGATTCCAGCGAGCCCTCTAGAGTCCTCTCACCATGCATTCGACTGCATCCATTTCCTGAGCCCCCTCTGTGGGCTGCAAGAAAGACATGGCTCCGGCCATCAGAGTTGTGTATCTTCCTGTGAGAATCCCGGGAGGAGACACAGGCAGGGCAGGTGAACAGAACCTGGTGGCCAATTAGCCCTAGGGGTCGGGGGACACAGGAGTCCGTGACCACGGTCCGGCTTTCAGGGCCTGAGATAAAGATTTGAGCACTAGTTTATTATCTTAGAAACCATTTCTCTTAATAAAAACTGTATTAAAATATTGGCTCAGTTATGGTTTTTCCCCCACCTATGGGCATTTTCCACAAAAGTTCTTATAATCTGCAGTAGGTTCATCCTTAAAAATCCTCAACCTTTAGCAAATACCTTAGTACCATGTAAACAAAGATACAGAGAAAGAACAATTTCTTATAAAAAAATTAAAGTAAATTTACTTGCTTACTTTGTGCAGAAAGAACCAGAAATTACAGGCTGTGGGATTCATTCTGTGCCCTTCAGTATGTTTCATATTATGACACAGTTAGAGATTATCTATTCTTCCTTCTAGTTCAGGGGTGGGCAAACTTTTTGACTCGAGGGCCACAATGGGTTCTTAAACTGGACCGGAGGGCCGGAACAAAAGCATGGATGGAGTGTTTGTGTGAACTAATATAAATTCAAAGTAAACATCATTACATAAAAGGGTACGGTCTTTTTTTTTTTCTTTTTAGTTTTATTCATTTCAAACGGGCCGGATCCGGCCCGCGGGCCGTAGTTTGCCCACGGCTGCTAACCCCAGACGAGCTGTTTCCCTTTTCTGAGTTACTGGCATCTGCTAACTGCAGATGAAAGTACTCTCCTCGTCCATATCACAGGCTGGCTTTGAAGAACCTAAACGACATTTACAAATTGCACGAGGCTGTCTAATAAAAGGCGCCAGTCCAAGGTCCTCCACCAACAGCTGAGGCTTGTGGCGATGTTCCTGCCCAGAGCCGCTCAGTGGCTACCGGGAGCCATGGCTCTCTGCCCCTCTGTGACACCCTGTCCCTCGGGGTACCTGCTGCATGAGCCTCTTTGGGGGCCATCCCAGAAGATGAGACCCTAAGACCCCACTGCTGTCTCTGACACAAACGACCTCTTGCCTGCCTGGCCCAGGCCAAGGTCATGACGCCTCTGAGGATAAGTTCCAGCCCAGGTGGCAGGCAGAGCAGGAACCCACAGCCGCCTGGACCACCCGAGCCCTCCGAGCCCACGCAGGCTGGGCTGGCACCTGGGAAATGAGAGATGCGCAGTACGCAGCATGTGCTCCAAGGAGGTTTATTCGTGCCCACACTCTTGCCCAGAACAAGGGGCCGAAAGCATCCTGATGGAGAAGCAAGGCAACCACACGCTGCCCGCCAGGCGCCCAGGGAGACGGCGATGTTCCTGCTCCAAGCACAGCCCTTTGCCCTGTAAGTCTCCTCCTAAGAGGCAGGGCAGCCCAGTCCATAGAGAAATGAGGTCCTGGCCCCACTGGCGTGGCTCAGTGGTTGAGCATCGACCTATGAACCAAGAGGTCATGGTTCAATTCCCGGTCAGGGCACATGCCCCTGGTTTCGGGCTCAATCCCCGGTGTGGGGCACGCAGGAGGCAGCCAATCAATGGTTCTCTCTCAACACTGGTGTTTCTGTCTCTCTTTCCCTCTCCCTTCCTCTCTGAAATCAATAAAATGTATTAAAGAAAAGTTATAGTTCCTGGAGGTTTCTTGTCCTGTCTGACCTCTGCTGGGCCCAGACCCTCCGTGTGCTCTCCGCTTGGCCAGCATCAGCGACCACGTCTGGCAGAGGAGCCCCACCCTCACCCGGCAGCTTCTGTGCTCCTAGAAATAACTAAAGTCTGGAGCGGACGAATTCTATCAGGTTCCCCAACTGCTCCTCCAGGCGCTGCTCGTCTCCGTCGTTCTCGATGACCCAGTCGAAGACCCCAAAGTTGTCCAGGCCGCATTCGGACTCGCCATCGTCCACTCCTGCAGAGGAGGCAGGGCGAGGTCAAGCCCGCTCCTTCCGGACAAGCGCGGGCGTGGAGGCCTGCTGGCCCCAGGCGGAGCGCCCGCTCTCCTTCCACTCCAGAGCCAAGCTCCCCCCACCCCACGGAGGGTACTTCCCGACCCCCTGAAACACCCTGAGGGCAGGTTCAGGAGCCCGCAGCCACCTGAGCCCTCGGAGGGTTCCGCTGACTGAACTCTTCACCTGCCACTTCCTACAGAGGGTGAACTGGGTCATCTAAACCACAGACCACCCGAAAGGGATTTTCCACTTGACGTGAAGCTCGGTGCGCTGCTTGCTTTCTATCCCTAAGCCTCTGTGTGCCATCCTCATTGGACAGTGAGAAGAGTAATGTCGGCATCACCTGGCAGGTCTATTGTGTCTGTAAAGTGAGTTGCAAAGTGTTTAGCGCAGGCCCGGCCTGTGGTGAGTGCCAGAGAGACGAACAGCCATCAGGAGGGGTTGTACCCACTGGATTTGAACTTCCCCGAGTCACAGTGACCTAGGGCAGGAGGCTCGCACCGCTGAGGCTGCCTAGCACAGCTTCCTCTTGCTCCCGCCCCCCACTCTGTTAACCAAACAGGAGGGAGTTGCCAGGCCTGCCCCGACCCACTGTCAAGCCTGACTGGGCTGGGGTGGGTCCCCGCCACTCCTCCAGAACCCACTGGCCTAGAAAGGACAGCCCTGGAAAGAGTACCCCCCAAAATCATAGGGAACCTCTATTCCCCCAGGACGCTGCCCCCACCACACTCCACTTTCTAACCTGGGGCACTCCTGAGTCTCAGATTCCCTTTCCTAACCCCTCGCTCGCTCTCCCACACCCTTCCAGGGAGAGAGCAGATGACCTAGAACCTGGGAAAAGGCGGCCTGGTCTGCAGGTGGGGTGGTCAGCTGTGTTCTGAGCCTTGAGGGCAAAGGTTGTGAGCAGCTCACCTGGTGTGAACACCCAGCCCCGCTGCTGTCGGCTCTGCTCCGAGGCCACCACGCGGACTGTCTGCGTCACAGCCCCATAGGCCTCCTGGAACCACTGGATATCAGACAGCCTCCGTGTGTCACTCACCAGCTGCAGGAAAGGGACACAGACAGGTGACCAATAGGATATGGTGCAGGGAGCAGCAGGAAAGGGCACTGCAGGTAGGGGAAAACGAGGGCAAGACTCAGCCCTACTTAGAATAAGCAGGAGCACAATGAGGTCAGTGGGGGGACTGAAGAACCCAGACAAGTGTACCCCCATTATCACCCAACCAGCTGGGACAGACATCTCCTCCTCCTCCAGGCAGCCCTCCCTGATTGCTGCAGCCTGCAGCCCATGCTGCCCACACTCTGTCATTGTCACACTTGTGTTCGGGGGTCATGCTGGTCATTGCTGTGCTAAAGAAGAGGCCTCAGGCTTTGAAATCAGTTCAGCTAGTTCAACACACTCATTTTACAGATGAACAAACTGGGCCAGAAAGAGTTACTCTAACAAGTCCCTGCCCACCCCCACCCCCCAGCACCTTTTAAAACATACATGTGATTTTTGTTAGCTCCCTGCTCTAAACCTCCCAAAGGCTTCCCATCATTCCAACAGAACCCAAAGTTCTCACACCAACTTACGAGGCCCTACAACATCTGGCACCTGCTTCGCAGCATCCTCCCCCCCACTCGTTCCACTGCGGCCAACTGACCTCCTTGCTGTTTCTCGGGGCCTTTGCACGTCCTCCTCCCTCTGCCTGGAGAAATACAAGGCAGGCTCTCTCACTTCATGGAAGTCTCTGCTCAAATGTCTCCTCCTCGGAGAGGCTGTCCCTGCCGCCCTGGTGTCCTTCCTGCCCCTCTTGATGCTGATACTTACTTTCCTCTGAGCACTAAGAACTCTTAAAACCATCGCTATGTGCTTGTTTGCATGTTTGTTGTCTGTCTGCCCTGCCCAGAGGCCGCTCCAGGAGGGAAAGGACTCTGATTCATCACTATCCCTGGCCCCTAGTGCACTGTCTGACACATGAACACGCAGGGGCGTACGTCCAATGGATGAATGAATCAACAGGTACTATCGCAAGTGCCTACTGTGTGCCAGGCGCCGGGGACCGAGTGCTTGCCCCCTCAGAGCTTGTCGTCGTCGGTGAGACAGACACTGAGCCAGCAGCTTCACTAATAACTGCAGTCACCGTGCAGATCAGCAAGCATCCCGACCTCACCGCTGCCCCAACCGGACTCCTGATTTGCTCCCCAAACTGGTCCCTCCCACACCTTTCCTGTCTCAGAAAACGACAACTGTTTTTCCAGCTGCTCAGAACAAAACCCTTGGCACTGTCTTCTGTCCTCACACCCACAGCCAACACACCATTGGTTCGATCTTCGAAATCTGTGCCGAATCCACCCTCTCTCCTCCCCACCCCGTTCTGAGCCGGGCCACGGCCACTTTGCCTTTCTGACAGAGGGATCTTCGCCCCGGCTCTCCGCTCCTACGCCTGCCCTTCCCCCAGCAGCCAGGGTGGGCCTTCCAACCTCAGATCACATCATGTCCCATGTTCAAAGCCCTCCACGGAGTCACCATCTCACCCAGAGAAAGATCCAGGCTCTTCCCAAAGACGCTGCACCATCTGACTGCACCTCCTGCCACTCACCCCTCACCCACAAACACCTGTCTGGCTTACCCCTACCTCCTTCGGGTCTGCTCAAATGTCATTTCAGAGAGGCCTTCCTACACCCTCAATAAAGCAGCAACCCAGCCTTCCTCACAGCCCTGGCTGCCTTTATTTTGCCCCTTCGAATTTATCTCCACTCTCCCTTAAAATCAATGGAAAAATATCCTCGGGTGAGGGATGGATGGATGGATGGATGGATGGATAGATAGATAGATAGATAGATAGATAGATAGATAGATAGATAGTCGCTCTGGCTGCTAGGTGGTGAATGACTCACAGGGGACAAGAGCTGATGCTGAGACCAGTGTGGGCTGCGAGGTTGTCCAGGGGAGAGATGGTGAGGGCTTGGACCATGGGAGGCAGCAGTGAGAAGAGAGAAATGGGCACATCTGAGTCTCATTCGGGGAAAGGCGAGGACTGGAGACACGGAGTTTTCTCAATGCTGCCCCTCGGCACCCTTACCCAGACCGGCTGGCAGACGCCCTCCACGACCTTCCTGCAGAAGAAGCCCGGGTCGGCCTGGCGCTGCGCCTCTCCCCAGAGGATCATGTCCCGCCGATAGGCCTCCTTGTAGGCGCTGGCATCCAGGAGTCTCTGGAAGTTCAGGCCGTGTTCCTGCCCGGAGCACACGATGTCTGTGCCCAGCCTCGCCACCGCCATGGCCTCGCCCTCCCTTCTCTCGCCCACCTCCCCCAGGACAAGGCCAGGACCCGCGAGGTTTCCGCCAGGACAGAGGCCTGCAAGGGAGCGGGCTCTGGAAATGGAGAAGTCCCAAACACGGACAGAAGCCACGCCGGCCGGGCACAATCCTATTCATTTTTATAAAAGCCCCCACGGTTCAAAATTCAAAAGATAGATATACATTCATTTACAGTGAAAAATCTCTCTCCCACCACTGTCCCCAGCCCACAGCGCCCTCCCTGAAGGCCACCAATGGCACCGTCTCTCATGTGTCGGTCCCAGCTTCTAACACATCGGAACAGTGTTTAACACAATGCAGGCACCCTAAATATTTGCTGTATGGTTGGAAATGTGAGCAGATATATTTACAATTTTCCCCCATTATTATACAGCATCCTCTATACACTATTCCAAATCTTGTTTGTTTGTTTGTTTGTTTGACTTAATAATATAGCTCGGCAATCATGCAACTAAGTTTCTGAGGGGAGAGCCCGGGGTGTGGCACCAGCTGAGGCAGTGACGTTGGTGTCACTCTCTCTGAGGAAGAGAGTGCGCAGGCGCTCACTAATCCACAGCATCAGCGCTGCCACCTCCCCACTCCAGCCTTTCCTGGACGCGCTTTTTTATTTTTTATTTTTTTATTGACTTCAGAGAGGAAGGGAGAGGTAGAGAGAGAGAAACATCAATAATGTGAGAGAATTATCGATTGGCTGCCTCCTGCACTCCCCTTACTGGGGATCGAGCCCATAACCTGGGCATGTGCCCTTGGTCGGAATCAAACCTGGGACCCTTCAGTCCGCAGGCTGATGCTCTATCCACTGAGCCAAACCGGCAGGGCTGGACGCGCTTTCTTTTTTTTTCTTCTTTTTTTTAAAAATATATTTTTATTGATTTTTTTACAGAGAGGAAGGGAGAGGGATAGAGAGTTAGAAACATCAGTGAGAGAGAAACATCAATCAGCTGCCTCCTGCACACCCCCCACTGGGGATGTGCCTGCAATCCAGGTACATGCCCTTGACCGGAATCGAACCTGGGACCTTTCAGTCCGCAGGCCGACGCTCTATCCACTGAGCCAAACCGGCCAGGGCTGGACGCTCATTCTTGAACCTGCTCTGGGGAGGGGCCTGAAGTGAGTGAGGCCAATGGGAAAGAAGTGTAAGCTGAAAATGCCCCCAAAAAGTCCACCCACAGGAAACCGAGAGCTGGCCACCACCCTGCCAGCAGTGGTCACAGGGACCCTACTAGTGACTCGGACAGCCACGGGGACCGATGCCAGGGGGCTAGCTCCTTCCCGCCCACGAGATGTCACCGAGAGCCACCTCCTACCTGGGCATACTGCTCCTTGAGGGGACCGGAGAGCCGGAGGACAGCACAGACGTCCGCGCCGAGTCTGCGGGACAGAGACCCAAGCCAGTTAGCCTGGATCTTCCGGGCCCCAGGGGAGTCACAGGTAAAACAAATAAAACTACAATGACGGTGCTATTCTGGCTCGATGCGTTTATTGCTGGACCCCTGAACTAGTCTCCCAGCCGGGGTACCTCAGCCTCAACTGACTTGGTCACCACAGCATCAATCATTCATTCATTCAGGTCAGTTTACCCAACCAACCGTTTCTTGTACTGAACTGTATGCTCACAGGTTCTCTTAAACACTGACATGGTGACATAGGTGTTCTTATTTCCGAGTTTCCGATGAGAAAACTAAGGTTGAGGGAGAAGAACCGCCTCGCCCAAAGCAGCGTTGCCAGTAAGGAAGCCAGCGCTGGCAAAAGAAAACTAAGAGCCACCATCTAGCTCCTGCACCGTTACGAGGTGTCAGGAATTGTTCGAAGGCCTTCACGGGCGTTATTTCATTTAGTCCTTACAGCCACCTGTTATCACGTCCCACAAATAACAAAACAGGGGCACAGGATGGGTAAGAAATGTAGATGAGATCACACACTCAAAGGTGGTGAGTCCGGATCTGAATCTCAGCCGTCTAATCCCAGAACCGGTGCTTCTCGCGCTGTTTGACTCCTGTGTTTGCAGGAAGGAGAAATGCACCTTAGGGAAAGCTGGTGGAGGCTCGATGGGGAAAATGCAGGTGGTGATCTCTGCCCTGGGCTCCCCCACGGACTCTTAGAACCAACCCCTGTTGTGCCCAAAAGCAACCTCTAGGTACCCCCCCCCACACACACACACACAGCGAAGCCTGCCCTGCTTCTCCCTGCTCCTCTGCCCCCCGCCCCCCCAGCCCATGCCGCCCCAACAAAAACGCTCCCACAGGGAACATCTCTCTTGGAGAGAAAACACGGAGAGAAAACTACTGCTGGGGAGACAGTGAGGCGAAGCAGAAAGAACCCGTTCCTTGCAGTGAGTTTAAAGTATAATTTCAGTCCTCGATCTGACTATGACTTTGTAACCTGGCAAGTTTGGGTTTTGTTTTGTTTTTTTACTTGTCAAAGACTCGGTCTCTTCATCTGTGAAATGGAGACACTAATAATACCACACAGCACCTAACCAAGAGGTTTGGAGGATTAAATGAGATAATACACTAATAGAAACACAGTGCCTGGCTCATAACCAAGGCTCAATCAACCCCAACTAGTAGGGGGTGTGCTGGGCAGGGATTTACATGTCTCTGGAGTCAGACACCATCGGAGTGTGGTCTTGGGCGAACCCTCTCCCCGTGACTCAGTTTCCCTCTCTGTAAAGGTGAGCTCCCAGCACTGCCGCGCGGGTAGGAATGGGGTGTAAGAAGTGCCTTATGGCAACTGTCATCACTGCTTCTGGGCGAGGGAGACCTGCCGCCCACAGTCTTTGGAGAGGGGGTCGCTCGCTTCTTCCAGGCAGATGTGTGCAGGCTGCTGTTTTAGGTGCTGCTGACCATCCCCCCACTTCCTCCCACCTGTACCCCGAGGACCCCTACTCCAAAGCTCACGCCCACTCCAGCGCACCCCGCGTCACGTGGCGCGGGGTT